TGCACGAGGAGAACATGGAGACTCCACGCAGAAAGATCCAGCGAACCGGCGACCTTCTAGCTGCGAGGCAACAGTGCTAACCACCGCTCCACCTTGCAGCTGACATGGTAGCATTTTCAGCCAATGGTACATTAGTGCAAGCAAACACACAGTTTAATAGATTCCTTACAGTTTTTCCCATTTCTTTACGGTTTTAGGCAGACTAAAAAAAGAAAACGCCTCCAAAAATGCTGACAATTGCAGACAATCGTCCTGATAACAGCAGTTCCAGACCTGCTGTTTGGACATGGGGAGAAACAGTTACTAACCCATGACTGGACAGTCAGTGTTCAGTAGAAGGATTTATTTATTAATCATTTGGGTTGTGAATATAATACACTGTCAGCATGTTACACTTTTTTTTTTTTAACACTAAAATGTAGCTGATTACGGCTTATTGATGCCTTTAAAATTAATTTCCTAAAGTCACGTCTGATGCAGCAGCTTTTTCCATCTGTGCAGTCCCTTTTCTGTTGAGCTGCACGTTATTCACAACCTACCAGGAACCAGGAAGAAATGTTTCCTGCTTCCAGTACTCACTGACTAATAAAGACTATACTGTGGTTTCTAATGGCCTTTTCAGTGGATTTTCATATCTCCTAAATACAAAAAGTAGAGTTCCGTTTACGTATTTACAAGAAGTAAGACTCTGCCAGCTTTACACACTGACTAACATGAGGTCAAATCGAATGACAAATGTATCACAGGGTCCACTTCTCCTTTCCAGTTCGTTCTCATGGCTGTGAAAGCCTCGTGTGTTGCACTCAGATATCTTCACTAAATGTCACCCAGGTGTTAGATAGGATGCGACAGGCCTTTCTTTGATGTTCTCTACCTCGGCTTGATTTACTGTTTGAGTGCGGGGGTGTTGAAGTGGTTTAAGGCCCTTCCCTAAACTGCTTCCTTCAGCCGCTGCTCCTCGCTCTCTCTTCCTTCTTTGTCATTCTCTCACACGCGTATGCAATGCTATGTAGGTCTACACCTGTGGGACACGGCAGCTTCATAAAACCCAAGCAGCCGCCAGAACGTCAGTGAGCTGACTCTGGTGTGTCTGATGTCCCTGCTGTGGTCAGAAGGGCTGCTTGCTGAGCTCACTGTGGTGAAGTTGCACAAAAAGGTGTAACTGCTTTTTTTTTCCCTTTGCAGAGTTTTTTTGTGTACACAACAGTTTTGCTTTGACCTTCAAATGTACATATGGTGTGAAAAAAATCAGTGACTTTATTCTGCATGTCTCATTTGCATATTCTGTACAATCATATGTGTCGGATTCTTTTAAGATTCAGAAAAAGACAGATGAGCAACCAACAGTCACGTCACAAAAAACCATGAGACTTTTCCACTGAACTGCAGAGTGTATTTACACAGAGGAGGATGCAAGTATGAAAACAAAAATGTAAATAGTAAAATATCTATTGTATGTAGAGTCACCATGTTTCTGGTATTGGTACCACCGGTGGCAGAACTGCTTCTGCGATGCAACCACAAATGAAGTGGCTGCTATGGCGATAAAATTCAAAACACAAACCACACAAACCCCTTCTGTCTCCTGTGACATTTGTTCACACATCAGCAATATTTGTGAAGAGCTAAAAAAGGCTTATATTAGAAATTATAAGCAAAAAATGTTTCTTTTGCTGTGTACTATACAACTTTGCTGCATTTATTGTATATTTGCATTTGAAGTTGGTTAAAATTTACAGAATTGTTCTTGAAAGCTGCGTAGAAGGCATGACATTATCAGTTACTATGGACATTGCACATAGATACATGATTAATTATATACTTTTTTGAATATTAGTTCCCTGATAAAGTAATGATAACGTTGGACACACTGAGTTGAACACCCATACACACTTTGATCTGCCAGGAGCAAATCTGATGAGAGCACTGCAGGCTTTAGCTTTTTCTCCCCATGCTGTTTAAAATAGCCACTGTTTAAAATTATAAATACAAATTACTAGAACACAATATACGCAAATCTTTGGTCTTTCATCCAGGAATGTTGGCAGCCACCTTCAAAGACCCGTAATGATTAAATCCTAATAGAGTGTCAGGAAGCAGTCACTAATGCACACACTCACACATGCTGTATGATTTCCAGCACACACCTCCAGCCGTCCCATCCCCCAGGAACAATATCTCATGCCGTGATGAGGAAACTGCTTGCTCCCCAGAGATGAAAACCACATTAGCATGTACAAGTTCTTATCTCCAGAGTGGTGGCTAATTAGATTCTGTGGCTCTAATGTGAATAAACTGATGTGCTGTTCCTTCTCCTGCTTATCAGTCGAACCTCCAGGTGATTCGGAGGTAAGGGCGGAGGCGTGAATGGGTAAACCACTGCTCTCTCTGTTCCTTTCATTTTAACGGATCTTAAATCTCTGATAAAGCATTACACACACCAGTGGAAAAAAAACTTGGTTAATTGCCATGGCGAATTACACAGAAACTGAGACATCTGTCTTCACCATTAGCTGCAAGCTGGTTTGCTCTCTTTGAATTACTCACCGAGGAAACTCTTCAGTTATTCAGCTACAGAAAGCAGATAGTAAATACAGAAAACACACAGGAAACACACTGAAGACACAACGCCCCCTTCAAATGAAGGAATAACACTTTTACAAGTCACTTGGTGTTCCTAGTTATGGTTAAGAACAGTCATCCCCCTGTGGTTTGTTCATGCTTTGTATGAAAGTAGCTGATGTTAATGTCATCCTACTCTTGCTGCATATCTTCCACGCTGCTTTGATTGTCTTATGAGGAAATTGCGCTTCCTCCGATCCATAATTGATCTGCCCCCGGTCTGTGTTAGCATCTGTGCTTCACTCACATTCTCAATTCCTGGTGTGACATTAATGTACAATTAGTCATTATTACACCCTGACCTTTCTGCAGAACAGAACAGTGGGAGTGGAAACAATTATAAAAATATCCTGTTTAAATGTGATGCTGCAAGTGTTGTCACCTTGAAGTAGGTAGGTTTTGTCGGAAAACAAAACTAGGAGACATGTATCACAAGTAAATGATAAATATGTAAATGTGCATTTGGCAAAAGTGTTTCACAGGATGTTGGTGCTCCGACAACCAGACCGTCATCACCATGCCTAAAGCTGAGCTTGTTTTTGTGCGGTTTAAAATGAAAAGCGTTCCCTCAGGTACAGCATGGAGACAGCAGTGACCGGGTGTTCATTTAGGCAGTCACGTCAACATACAAATGCTTTAAGTTGTTAAAAACGACCTCAATGTTAAACCATCAACTTCCCTTTCCCAGTTCTTCAACAGCACCACAGCTTGTATTCATGATTGTTCACTTAGATGCTTCAGTGGGAGTGGAGCCGAGCCATTGTTAATGCTGATAAATAAATTATGTGATTCCACTTCAACAACATGCCAAAATGTCTTCTGCACAAACAAACAAACAAACAAACAGTTTTAGGCTAATTCATATAACAAAGCTAGTATACAAGTTAAATTTGCCAATAATGACAAGTTAAAGAAACTGTTTGATATAGAGATTACATTAAAGCTGCACCCATCAATATTATTATTTTAAACAATTGAATCTTATGGCTATGTATGATGTGAAGATGTCTTTTGAAGTGACAAACCACAGACACGTATGTCTCTGCTCTGCAGTTTGTCTGAGCTATACCAAGAGCTGAAGCATCTTTGAGCTAACTGCTTTGGTTTTGTAACCCACAGCTTTATGGTTTGGTTTTAACTTGACAGTTTTATCAAATTATCTCCAACAACAAGCAGCTTTTTTTCAGAGGAAAAGCTCTGATAAACCCACTCTTTGCTACCTGTCCTGTATCAAACAATAGGTAGCTAAAGCTAGCGCAGCCTGGTGAAGAGAGTTTAGCACTTAGCAGCTAACCACCGCTCAGAATAAGAGCTAACGTTGTTCTGTTTCTGCTGCACGTGTAACCAGACAGCTTTATAGCGACATATTCATCAGACAGTTTCACAAGTTGTTCAAATGTCAGTTTGGTGTTTCCCCCTTGTTGAACTGCCCACAAGTTCAAAAACAGCTAATGCAGCTTTAAAGTCAATTCTACATGCATTTCCATAATATTCTTACAAATGTCATTATCAGTGAGCTGCAAAGTGGATCGGTGGCTAGCATTGTTGCCTCGCAGCTAGAAGGTCGCCGGTTCGTGTCCCGGTGAGGATGCCCGGGATCTTTCTGTGTGGAGTCCGAAAACATGTTGAGGTTAATTGGTGATTCTAAATTGTCCGAATGTGAGTGTGTTTGGTTGTCTGTCTCTAAGTGTAGCCCTGTGATAGACTGGTGACCTGGGATAGACTCCAGCCCCCCGTGACCCTAGTGAGGATTGAGCGGTGTATAGATGATGGATGTCATTATTAGTGCCTGTTGTAATAGACACAAATGATTCTGAACTGAATAAAACCATTTCTGACTTCAATTAATGTTTAATACCATAAGTAAGTTTGGGTTGTTGTTTTTTTTTTTAGCTCCACAACTGCCAAATCACAAACTGGTGTGAGAAAAAAACATATATTTTCACTTGACATTGGAATGTTTCTCTGAGTTGTTGAATTTCTGTTTAGATGTTCGCTTCATCCAGTCACGGAAGGAAAATTTGAATAAATCACCTGTTTCTTTCCCCCCGCTGACATTGTTTGTGCCCAACTCCAGTGGCATCTCTGCATTTCATTATTATTTCTCTGAACCTCACTTGGATCTGTTTGTACAGTCAGAGTTTCTACAAAGGTGTGGATCCTGAGCAGTTCTCTTTTTATGTACCATCTGCTACCAGAAAGCTTCTCAGGCTCTGCTGCCTCGGCTCATTCAGACGCAGAAGAGAAGCCGTTTCTGGGTTTCTTATGGCTGCTGTAGATGCACACCGCTACTGTACACATCTTGCAATATAAATAAGTACTGTGTTGCGAGCATAATTAGATTTAGATTTGTCTTTCTCTCTTGTGCTCTGTTACAGACTCAAAGCTCTGGTGTCAACTGGAGGTCGCAGTGTGCAAGCAGCATGTGACTGGTGAGTTTAAACAAAGTGTATACACTACATTCACATGTACACATCACAAGCTGAGGAACGCAGCGTGTGTTTTACTGCCCTCTGCTGTAGACGTATGTCCGAAAAAAAGGCAGGTTTTATAACTTGAAATACTGCTGAAGGCAAATCTTTGTTTCTTTACCACTAAACAGAATTGTAGATGTGACTGGGATTTTGCCTCTTGTGATAAATGCTGAAAATTAAACTACAATAGCTGAAATAATGACTATATTAGATTATTTTTTTTATCAATTTATCTCATCTGATTGAGAGCCAGACCCACAAAATGTTTGTTATTGCTATAGATTTTGTTGTTATTGTGTTTTTTCTCTTTTGTTTAATTAGACCTTTGTTTATTAATTGAAACCTTTTTTACTTGAGAAACTAGAGAGACAAGATGGCGGTTTAAAAAGTGTCAACGCAACAGCTAAACCAATACCTAAAACCTTGTGAAACAAAGTGAAAGCAAACTAGTCTTAGAACAGACACAGTCATTAATTTTCACATTATTTCATTCTGCCAGCGAGCTCACATTCCAAGCGGTTGGAGCAGAAAACATGATGACTTCCCATCTATTTCTCTACATTAGGCACAGCTTGTGATCTGAGATAATGACTGCAAAACGAGCCGTGTTAAATACTGTGTATTAGCAGATATTTAGAGCTGTGATGAAAGTGCGACTCAGTCAGCGTTTGGAAATTTGGAATGCATGCGTGGTTTTAATTTAATTACAAACCTCAGTGTACTTAGATGAACAGTTTGACTTGATTCTTATGCATCCGTATACAGCACATCATTATAACCAAGAGCCAGTAAAAAAACAGTGTTGATGAGTCCTCTCCTCGCTTCTCCTCTCCTAGAAACAGGATTGTATCTAAAATAAAAAAACTTACTTCATAGATGTTGACATACATGCATTATAACATCGTTTTTGTCTACAGTTGCCATTAGTTTGAATTGAGTAAGCTAAGACTGCAACATATTAAAAGCAGAGTGCAGTTTGTAAAGTGAACCAGAGATAAAAGCTCCACTGCCACACAAAACCAAACCATCTGCAGAACAATTAGTTCCATGCACATTAACACCCAAATTATTTATGTAAAAACAAAATAAAACAGGCCAAGCACAGAACCCTGAGACACTCCATTAACTACAGTGAGCCTGTTTGAACTATCTCTGGCCACATGAAAACAAGGTGTTCACTGATAGCACACAATGTTTGAAACAGCACTGGTGGAAAAGTAAAGCCTGTTTTTGGCCATTGAACCGTGTGTGTGAAGGCATTTGGCACAACATCGACTCACGAATTAATGTAGAGCAAATAAGATCCCTTGAAATGTTGAATGAAGGCCAGCGAGTTTATTCATTCTAAACTTCTGCTGTTGTTGCTGCAGGCAAGAGTAGTGTTATCAGCAAACAAGCAGACAAGGAGGAAAGTTTTCTGGCCCAGAATCTCAGTTCAGAACAGGAACTGTTCCAATTAGAAAGGAGCTGTTGGGCCCCTGCAGTGAGCTGGTCGCACAGCTGAAATCATTTGCATTTAGGACTGTGTATTTACCCACTTCGCCTGTTAAGGTCTCATTTATGCCAGAAGTAATTTCCTAAAATCTGTGTCACTGTCCTCGCAGCGCACTCTGAGACTTTTCCATCTGTCACGCAGGCTGTTTTCCCACGTGGACGACCCGTTCCTGGACGACCCTCTGCCCAGAGAGTTTGTCCTCTACCTGCGACCCAGCGGACCTCTTCAGAACCAGCTCTCACACTTCTGGCAGCAGAGCCGAGTCACTTGTGGCAAAAACAAAGCCCACAACATTTTCCCCCATATCACTCTCTGCCAGTTCTTTATGGTGAGCTAAACTGAGCTTCAAATTAACTTTTTATGACTGCTGGTGGCCTAAATTATAGGTCCATTAAAGGTTGTGCGGTCCTGACCAACACAGAGCGAATATCAGTCGAATTCTTGGTGCGTGATTCTGTTTGTCATCCTCATGTGTAAAGCCTCGGTCAGACGTGCGCCTCATTACGTAAATGTGACGCGTGTTCTCATGTCTGATTCACAGCCGTTATGTGACTTTACATAAAAGTCACAATATACTTAGATATTTATCACTTGCAGCCTCTTTTGTGTAAAAACTAAGTCACACGTAACCATGATTTTTTTTTTCCCCCTCACCAGTTCACTAACACCAACAATACACAAACAATATTATACAACATACAGCAAGTAGGAGCTGATGTGAGTCGTGAAGAAGCCCTGTGTGGGTTCCTTGTAAACAACCAATGTTATGTTCATGTTCACTGTTGTCTCACAACATCACTGAATTAATTTCATAAAACATTTTCTGAATAGATGTTTTTTTAAATCTCACACTCTGAAACCTACATCCATGTGTCACATTGCTGTGTTTGTTATTTCCACCAGTGCAACAGTGGGAATTAGAGGGCTTATACAGAAAAGCAAGTTTGACGTAGCCAGTCTGTCGTTTTATAACGCTGCCTCAACAAAACCTAAAACTCCAATCACAAAACGTTTGTATCACAGCGCTGGTTATCGACTTGCTTTGTTAAGTAGGTTTTCTTCGTCACGCTCCCATAAAAGGGGCCGTTTGACGTCTCGTTTGACTCTTCTTCTGCTCAAAATGTTACGGATTGTGTCCCGCCGACCTCAGTCAAGAGGAAGGTTGTTGTAACGGAGAGCTCTGGGATTTGAAAATGTATTTCGGGAAAATGTGTTGTTAGGCAAGAGTGGGATGCTGCTAGCAAATTGTTAATGATTAATCATGTAAGTTAGGATGTTTATTTTGCCACTTAGAGCTCTCAATGCAGATGCTAATGTGACAGCTGCACATCTGAGCTCTGAAACTTTAAACTTCATACATTTAAACATGACATCAAGAAACCCATTTAGGTCTGACACTGTCCCATAAGGAAGGATACGTGGAAATGACTTTAGCTTTGTGCCAAATCCAAGTGAAAGTAATGTTACTGATTGAATATTCTCTGTGGTAAATACCAATACACTAATCATGTTCTAATCTGTGTTCTATAGCTGCAGCACCAGCAGTGTAAACCACAACTGGCAGCAAATCAGAGTCAAGCTTAAAACATATTTATGCGTTTTCTGCATTACTAAGTAAATACATGTAGGTTTCCATGGCAATGTGGTGTGTACGTTTACTTTGTTCAGAGGGATTACTACTGAACAGCTCAACAGGCCCTCTTCTGAAGCCACTGCTTCATAGTGCGACTCGTGGTCAGAAACTCCACACAGTGACTTTAATGTGTTGTCGCTCTCAGCTTGTGTTGTGGAAACGGACCTTCGAAAGTGTACAGGAGGGTTTTTATGTCATAAACAACTGGGTGCAGTTCTATGTTTGTCCTCCAAAGAGTATCTAAAATTTTGCACAGTTATCCACATTTTTAATCAATATTGCAGTCATTGCTTTTTTACGACAACCAACTTGTACGTTTTCTCTTCTTCCCTTCGACACAGTGTGCAGACCACAAAGTAGAAGCTCTGTGTGAGGCCCTCCAGGCCTCCGTACAGCAGTGGCGGGGTCGATTTCCCAGCCCGCTGCCTCTAGAGCTCTACACGTCTTCTAACTTCATCGGTCTATTCGTAGAGGAGCAGGTGGCCGATGTCCTTAAGCAGTTTGCAGCTGACTTTGCGACAGAAGCTGCCAGGAAGGCAGGTAGGAACTACATTAGGGATAAAAGGCGCACATCATATACCCACAATAGTTTGGATCATATTGAAGATCTCAGCTGCATGTCTTCCCTTCAGTCTGTCCCGTCTTTCACAATCTGTCATCGTCACAATGATGGTTCAGAGTATGTCAGCATCAGTTCATGGTCTTCACTGTGTCATGTGTGGTGACCAGCTCTGCTTCCCGCCAATGACAGCCAGTGATTGGTCCAGATGGCACTCTTGTTAGGTCATTAAAGCGCTCACTCAATCTGCCACTGTGACTGTCTTTAAACACAGGCGAAAATGAGAGTGACTGCCCAACAGTATTTCAGGCAGCTGAGTGCCAAATCAGATTAGAGCCGCAGTGTTAGCGCTAATGCTCTGTCATATTTCTGCTTCATGGCAGCAGCACAGATTAGAGCGCGGAGAGACTCAATGTGAGTGTTGTTGGATTCTCCAGATTTCATCTTTAATGTTTCATACAGTTTTACTTTACTGCAAAGTCTTGATGGGAATATTTTTCACTTTAGTACAGATTAAACAAAAAAGAACAGATTCTCTAAATCCAGTCAGTGTGTCATTTTCCATCTCCTCTCTCATCCAGAAGTCCACGTGGAGCCTCACAAGAAGCAGCTCCATGTAACTCTGGCCTACAACTTCCCCACCGATCACCTCCCGTCACTGGAGAAACTGGCTAAGGGCATCGAAGTCAAGCTGGGTTGTGATTGGTTGGCTGTTCTATTCTCCCGGGACATTCGTTTCGCTAACCACGAGGTAGCTAATATTCATACTTAAAATTCACTCATAGCTGTTAACCAACAGCACCAAACATCCTGACGTGTGATGATTTGTGACATGTCAGTCGGTAGCTCAGCCAGTGATTGACGTGCCTCTGACTGTCACATCTGCAGACCCTGCGGGTGATGTACCCCTACATGCCGCAGAACGAGGACGAGCTGGAGCTGGTTCCTGGGGATTTTGTCTTCATGTCTCCAGTGGATCAGAGTAGCACCAGCGAGGGCTGGGTGTACGGGACCTCGCTGGCCACCGGGCTGTCCGGCCTGCTGCCTGAGAATTACGTCAGCCTGGCCGATGAGTCCGACACCTGGGTCTTCCATGGGTGAGCACAGCAGCTCACACAGAAGCTCACACAGACACCAGAGGTGGCCTAAACTGCCTGAACAAATTAAACTAATGGGAAATACAAATAAAACAACCATTTAACAGTGGAAGATACTACATTAATTAAAGCTGCTAAAAGAGTGTGTAGTGTCGAAGGGTCTTTATTGCCTGATATTTTCCAAGCAAAGGATGAATGTCACTCTGGACAAGATAATCATGAAATTAAGTATGGATTGTCTTGGTTCCAGGGGCGAATTCCTCCTAATTTTATTGACCCCTTTTTTGATGTAACCACCAGCACAGAAGGAATAAACTCCCAGCAGGACACAACTGTCCATATAGACTTTCATTGCACACGACAGTTTCATGGTTCCCTCAGGCACTCCGAAAACAAACAGTACCCGAAAACTGCAAAGGTTGGATGATTGATCATTTATGTGTATGACAGAAACAATGTCAACAATTCTGATAAAAGATTCAAAATCTGAGATGTTTTTTTTAAAAATCAAAAATGCTTTAAAAAAAAAAAAAAAAGGGAAGAAAAGAAATTTCTGGTAACAGCTTGTAAAGTGAATATTTATTTGTCGTTTGTTGTCCTGTTGGTTAGACAACATTTAAACATGCTATTAGCTGTTTTCTTCTACAATTCTAGAATCATACACATCAAATAATTAATTTGAATAATATTAATACGACAGAAAATCGTGACAAATTACAGGTAAACAGACATAACATGAAGCTTTTGGGGCCCTGCAGTAATCCAGCATTTACCAACAGGTCAGTATTTAATGTTGTATACAAGTAGATGATGGCAGAACATTTTTAGCTCTGTCTTGCTCCCTGGAGGATGAACCCTTTTCATTATGATAAATCTTTTTATATTCAGTCAACACCATCATGTATCTTTCAACAGCATATAAACAGTACACAACGACAAACCCTTCCTTTCTTAGAGTTCAAAAGGCATAAATCAATGACATTACACCTCTAACGTTGCATTATGTGGGAATGATTCCCTTAGAACAAACTTTGGATTATATAACTGCTGGAAGAGTGTTATTTTGGATTTGTTCAGACATCTGACAACTGAAATACTCCATAGGATAGAAGGTCCAATTTATTCTGCATGCCTGATGTCTGTTCTCCTTGTCCACCACAGCTCCCACTCATTCTTCAGCTGTGGGCCCAGTGACAAGAGCAGTAAAGAGAGAGGGATGTTTGATGGCCTGCTGGACAGCCGACGCCCTGATAACACCAGTCCTGGAGACACTCCCACCCTCAGCCTCATCTGTCACCCAATGCAGGTAGTTGTGTTTTTATGGCTGTTAATTCCTCTCAAAATCTGCATAATTCTGTATCATTTAAAATGTGTTTTTAATTAGCATTTAACTAGTGTGCTATTATCTATTCAAATGTTCAGAAGACCTTATCATTTATTGAAGCCCTTTATTTCCAGCAGGTCCTGCGGATCAGCGGTGGTCACTCTCGGCAGCCCAAGCGGACGCTTTTCGTCTGCCGGCACGGTGAGAGGATGGATGTGGTGTTTGGCAAACACTGGTTCTCCCTCTGCTCAGACAGTAAAGGTGAGCACGTACACTCAGAAGCCCTTAGCCAATGTTAGCTACACCAGTCACGTCTTCAATCAGAAGGAAAGCATTTCATTAAGCATTGCAGGCTCTGTAGACTGTAGGTTTGAGGTCCATCATGCACCAAAATGCATTAACCAGCAACCTTGAATTTCATCTGAAAAAACAAGAGAAAGATAAAAGTAAAAGATTACTGAAATAAGAAAAATGAAACCCACTTAGATGACATCATGTGTTTTTGTTGCTCTGCAGGCAGATACATACGCTCCAACCTGAACATGCCTCCCAGTTTGCCTCTGTGGGGCGGGCAGAGAGACTATGACATGGATGCTCCCATCACTGTGTTTGGGTCCACACAGGCTCGACTAATAGGTACGTCACCACAGAGATCCGAATGATGCACAACACATGGTGTTAGAGGGCTACCGAGGGGTCTGGAAGCTTTGTTGTGTGAAATGCATGTAAACTAAACATGTGCTGTTATTCCAGGTGAAGCCCTGTTAGAGAGCAACACCGTGCTAGACTTTGTGTACTGCTCTCCTTCTCTGCGCTGTGTTCAGACCGCACAGAACATCCTGAAAGGTGAGAAGAGTCTCCTCAAGCAAATGTGAGGGATTTTGCAGTATTCGCTCACTGTCCACCAAACAGGCACCCCACTGCGACATTCCTAGTGTCATTGAAAAGGGATCATCTTCATCTTACTTGTGATAAGGTTTCATCAGTTGTGTTTGTGTGAACAGGTCTGCAGCAGGACGGCAAGCTGAAGGTGCGAGTGGAGCCGGGGCTTTTCGAATGGACCAAGTGGGTATCTGGGAACTCCCTGCCTGCATGGATACCTCCCACTGACCTGGCTGCTGCCCACTTCAGTGTGGACACAACTTACAGGTGATGCAAACAGCTGTCAGCAAAATGTGCATTATGTAGTTGTTCATATGGAGTGTGGTCGATAAGTTACGTCAATGTGTTTGTCATTTACTGTGATCCCTAGATCATCTGTGTCTTCATTCCATAATTCATTCGTCTTGTTATCATTTCTCATTCCACAAATTAAATAATCCTTTAGAAATGCCAACTGTGGGCGCCCCTATAGCTCACCTAACTGAGCGGGCGACCCCCAAACGGGCTATAGTCCCCAATGCAGCGGTTGTGGGTTTGACTCCCGCTCACAACCCTGCAGGTCTCTCCCCGTTCTTCTCCCCCGTTTCCTGTCTCTCTCTACTGCTCTAAATAAAGGCAAAAGCCCCCCCAAAAAATATATGTATATATAAAAAAAAGAAATGCCAACTCTATGTATTATTATGCATGTTTGACTCTAGGATACTGTACAGTATCTTTTGAGAAAAGTAAAGAATCAACTGATTTTAGAATTGTTGTTGTGCTAGTTAACCCTCAGAGCCAAATAGACACACTTTGTGTCTAAATTCACGTCTCTTTCCTTATGTAGTTGCTTTTGAAGTATTACAACAAAGTTCAGCTGTTATCCGCTGAATCTACACAACTTGACCTTTCCAACAATGCTCGATGCTTGTGTGTGGCTAGAAAAAAAACATCTTGCGTAAACATTCAATTTGACTATAGTTCCAACCTGCATACATCTCTACACTCATTACTCTTGTTTGAGTTCCTCGTGAACTCGCCAAGTTGAGCTCTACATATGTTAATATTTATGCGATATCATTGCACATATTAACATCTCTGTGAAATGATGTTTTAATATTTTATCAAAAGTAAGAGCAGGACTGGAGCTTTGTGATTTCTTCACCCATTTTTACATCCGTGCTTCTCGGTTGAATGAGTCTGGAAGTCAAACATTTGCCTGCAAGTAGGTTACTGTGTGTAAAGCCTTCACTGAAGAAAGTATTTGCATTTGGTACATTTTTTTTCCCCAATTTCTGAGGCATACAGTATTCCACCATGGTAGTTCTGATATTATCAGATTCAGACAGTTCTACTTCCTCAATCATGAAAAGATATCTTTATTGCCCTGATTTTGTAGTGAGATATATAACAGTGTGTCTACTGCTTTAACTTGATGTAATGGCAAATAAAACATCTGCAAGTATTATCACATCATGGACAGAAGATCTGAATAGCCTGGACTGCTCTGAAAAAACTAGATACAGCAGGTGTGAGTAGCCAAAGAGGTTAAAAATCAAGTGAAGGTCGTGAAACTACCGTGAGAACAGCAGAGCGCTCACAGGGTTCAAAGGTTGACCGACTTCACTGAACGTAGGTGCTTCTGGTAACTAGTTCCCATCTGACCGGTTAGCCTGTTCACTGATCCATGTTCTCTTTACTTTGTCTTTTTGTTAAACATACGTTTGCCCCAGGTTTTAGTGTTGTGCGTTCTGCATGACTCCTGGTTTTGTACATGTCTGTATATCCTGTATATATTTGTGCAGTGTTCAGTTTACATGCAGCTGTAGCTGAGATGTTTATCCTCGCTCCCTGCCCTGCAGAGATGACCTCCTCTACAGCTCTGTAGTACTGAATTATCCACAGCTTGTTTTTTTGCTTGTGTGCTGTCAAATCTCATCTCTTTCACTGAGAACAACAATTTCAAACCACGTTGCACCCCGAGCAAGTGCCTCCACTCAGAGGCACTCAACAACATTTCCAATACCGCTGCAACATATCGGTTTTCTAATAACTGCTCTTTGTCTTGATATAGACCTCTGATCCCAGTCAGCAAGCTCACTGTGTCTGAGTCCTACGAGAACTACATGAGTCGGAGCTATCAAGTGACCAAAGATATCCTGTCAGACTGCAAAAACACTGGTAAGACACACAGCAGAGGTCCTGTGCTGCTGAAAGAAGCTGTGGAGCTTTTTTAGGTGAACTTTTTCATTATAGTTGTACATGCTCGTGTGTTTGCGCACTGCTGATGCTGCATCCTGCCTGGGTTTCCACTGTCCATAGGAAACAACGTGCTGATTGTAGCCCACGCTTCTTCCTTAGAGGCCTGCACACGCCAGCTGCAGGGCCGCAGCCCACAGAGCGCCAAGGACTTCATCCAAGTTGTCCGAAAGGTCTGTTCACTGCATTTCTTTTTTGATCTAGTCCATCTGTTTATTTTTTTTTTTTCCTTTCATACCTCCTACTTTTCTATCCATCCATCATTGCTTCCATCTGGTTTCCGCTCTCCATGCCTGTTGTGGCTGGATGTGCAAAAACATGGGTGTGTGCACTCAAAACTCCAGAGATGTAGAGAATCCATGTGTACAAATAAAAGAAAACAATCGATCTCAAAAGAAGTAGTTTAAAATCTTGTTATTCACCTGACTAGTGGATTGACTCACACTCATGTCTTTAGCAGAGGTTTAGACAACTCTCAGGACCGTGTTTGGATGTGTGAGCGTGACCTGCTGCTTACTGAGGTTTCTTCTTCTGGGATTGTAAACATATATTTAATCTAAAACTCCTGCTCTCCCAGTCTGACCTTTCTAACCAGGCTTGGTGAACAGAGAGGTGACTGAAGTCTTGCATGTGCACATTTTGTAACACGATGTTTGTGGATTCCTGACAGACTAAACTTCCTCTTTAGATAATAGTTCTTTGTTGGGCTGCTCATTAGGGAATATTTTTTGTAGCGCAGGTCAGTGGAGCTTCTAGTGTTTAGTGTCTGCTGGTTTATTGTGAAACAACAAAACCAAACAAGTCTGTGAAAGACTAAATTACAACAAAATACACAAAGTAATGAAATGAAATTTGCAAAATGCCTTTACTTTGTATTTATATAGCTCCAGCAGGTCTATGGTGCTCCCTGCTGGACAACACCGATATGAAATACACCCTGTCGCTTTGGGTTTTTTTGAAATGTGATGTGATTGGATTTAGCATGGAAAATTCATTTCACAATAAAATGAATTCAGATGGGCACCAAAGGACAAAAACTAAACAATCTGTCATTCATTCGTTTATATTCGGTTGGGAACCTAAAGCAGTTCCCGTTTCTTGTGAAGGCGTGTTTACACTCAAGATTTGGAACATTTTGCAAATTAGACATTTTCCAAAATAAATGTAAATTTGACGTTCAAGCTCATAATCATTACATGAATTCAGGTGGTGCCGTTGCCCGGCCCAGAGGCCTGCTGTGACCACGGCCACCACAGACTGAGGTCTGGTCTCCTCACACAAGTAAAATAATGAAGCCCTTCAGAGGCCTGACCTTCACACACTCACTGAACTGGAGGTACATGCTGTAGCTTTTCAGGCAAAGCGTTTTTGCCCGTTATAGTTTTTTTCTTGCTGTTGTTCACATATGGACCCATTTTAACAGCACAGCCACCTCCATTTAACAGCACACAACCGAGAGGAGCTGACCAATCAGGGAAAAAGTAGCTTAAACATTTCATATTATTGTCACAGCAAAGTGTACAGACAGTATAGATATGCAGTCATTGTTATATGTTAATAAAGAATGTACATGTTTTTATTAGTTCAAGTGTGTGTGATTTAGGTTTAGCTGTGTTTTGGTTGAAGCTCTTGTACAGGTTCTACAGTCAATGATAAAATTGAATGTCCAAAAAAACCCCAAAAAACAGACTATGTGCTTTACAGCAATTTGCCAAACCGAAAAAAAGTAAGAGTTTGTGTGCCACATCAGTGTGAAGCTCAGTCTGGCTAACCCTATAAAAACTGTCCAGCTCCACCACTGCCATCGTGTATTTGCTGCATGCTTATGACGTGTATCACATGAAGAGGTCAGGAACTTGCTGGTCAATATCGAGATCGAGTTCGGTCCAGGGCCCGTCTTTTCATTTGCTATTTTTGACTTGAGCAGAAAATTGAAAGTACAAAAAGCAAGCCGGTGTTTTTCTTTCTGTGCTGGATTCATAAATACATCCATCCATTATCTATACACCACTTTATCCTCACAAGGGTTGCGGGGGGGCTGGAGCCTAGGATTCATAAATGAACAACAAAATAACAAATAGTTTCTTTATTTTCAGATTTTGTATTTTCCATTTAATATGAAAGAAATGAATGATACAGAAATTCTAAATAATTATTCTTTTATTTCCATTTTTTTTCTTTATGACACAGTAAATGCATGTGCTAATATTACTTTTGTAATGAGACTGACTGTTTGATATATACTTTAATATATACCAAAGAGACAATCAACCAGATTTAATATTTATACATTAGGAGCACTGTATGTGTCTTTATTTCCTCTGATAAAACTACATTTTTTGAGGTAGTTGTAGACACACATGTACACATATTGATGGAGCACAAAAATTTAAAACACGTATTCAAAAAGCCAAATGACCAAAAACCATCCTCACGTTGAGCAGCTTGGAGTTGACTGGTTGAGTGTAACGAGGGCAGCTCATAGACTCTATCAGCTCATTTTGTCATGAGAACAGAGTGTTTTCAGAGTCAGGCTTCAGTCAGGCCGGGAGTCCTGTTGCTCCTTCATTAGCTCGTCTGCTGTCTGCTCTGATGCACAGAGATCAATAAACCTCAATAACACAGCAGCTGTTCGCCTGCTCTCTGCTTCAGCGCCAGCCACAGTCTGAGCTGATCCTCACCAAAAATCAGATTTGTTCTTTCTGACCTGGTTTCTTTGTGACTTTCTCTTTTTTTCATGATATGCTAGAAGAAGTGTCAGTGCCAGAATATTTAGGTAAAAGTAAATCAAGTGGTGTAAAGTCCTTCAAAATATTATCAGATAAACTACTTATTATGCTTTATGACGCTATTAATGCTGCTGTTGTGTTTAATACAGGATTATTACCACTGATGTGTGAGCAGCACCTTTGTTGTGCTGGTCTGGGTGGCGCTCAACTGGCTGAAAAAAATCTGTCTAGTTAACACACTGTCTGGAAAGGAGTCCAAACTCTGTCCTGTGCAATGTTTTGTTTTAATTATTATTATTATTATTTATTTGAGTATTTTTAAGTTAAATCTATTTATTTAACAAAAGCTGCAGAAATTATTTGTATTTTAAAACAGGAAACAACAGGCTTCTGATACAGGCAGAAGAGGCGCAAACTCAATTGTCAGTATAACAACACATCTCAGTGACTCATACTTTATGTTGTGCGTCAGGACATCAGTTCACATTTTTAAGATAATATATTGTGACCCTAATAAAGTTCTATATTCGCTGGACTACACCTAAAGCAACATGCATGTTTTATCATCACTGCTGTGTTTTGGCAGCAGTTTTGTTGTACATTTAGGAAAAAAGTTACAAAAAAAAAAAATGAATAAAATAAATTTTAAAAAATAAATAAATAAATCCTATTCCCTCCCACACAGCCTGCTATTGGCATCAACGTCCTATCACACTTGAACTTGTTCTATGGCACTTATCCAAACTGTTCTCTCCTGACTAGATCCTTGCTTGTGTTGTATCTGCTCTCAGATAAAAGCGTCTGCTAAATGAAATTGTAGAATTGTAGAATTCACTAACAACAATCATCCCAGTAAAACTAAGCGGTTACTGTTCACACTATAAGATGGCTGCAAAACAGAAAGCAGTCGTCACGCCGGCCGTCCTCTCCTCTCCAATCCTCTGAACACGTGTCACTTCCTAGAATCTAACTATGAATTCCTCTGCTTGGTCCTCAGATCCCCTACCTGGGCTTCTGCTCCTGTGAGGAGCAGGGAGACACGGGGGTGTGGCAGCTGGTGGACCCTCCCATCCTCCCCCTCACACATGGACCAAACCACACCTTTGATTGGAGAGAGACGCTCCTACAAGAATGACACGATCTGAACCCCTCAACCCTACAGACTGCAGTGACATGTTTCAGACCGCTCCTCTTCCTCCCCCCCTCCCCTCCCAAAAAACAAAAAAAAATCTGAGAACTTTCCTCTTTCCAGCCTCACTAGCAGCCGGCCGTTTTTCAGAGACGACTGAAGCTTCCTGCCTAAAGATGAGGAGCTGAGTCCCAGCCAGGTGAACTGACTGCATCCTTCCGTGAGCGGTTCAGCAATGACTAACAAATGTCCACACTCGAATATCATCACGCTACTACTTTGTGCACAGGAGAGGTTAGCTTGGGCGGCATGGCTGGGTCTTTGGTGTTCAGCTGGATGATGCTTAGAGGCTGTCAGTCTCAGGAAGTATTGTGAAATTAGCATAAAGATTCCAACACAAATACCATGAATGTTTTACATACAGCATGAGAGGTGATCAAAAAGTTCCAAGACCGTGCCTAGAAAAATCAATACTGATTTAAATTGGCCACCATTCCCACCAGTGGAGTCTCCTCCTGCATCGCCTGTAGCGCTCCCTAAAAGACCAACACCATCTGTGATTTCAAAACCTTTTCAACTTAAATTTCATTCTGGGGAAAGAGAAGGAAGTCACAGGGAGACAAACGTGGTGAGTAGGGTGGATGTGGCCAAAGAAGCCTGTGTATGATCAGCGCACTGCGACCGGACATGCAGCAGCATGTCATCACAGCACAGCTTAGAGCATTTGTGCTGAATGTTCTCCCTCAGACAGCTCAGGACGTTCCAGCAGAACTCTGTGTTGAAAGTCTGAGTCTGGGGGATACATTCCTGGTGCACGACCACATGAATGAAGAAAACGATGAGCATGCTCCTGACCTGGGAAAACTCACTGGTAGCTGCAGACAGTAATGATTCTCCACATGAAGGTTCAATCATCCTGCTGCTGACTGACACAGAACAGGATATTTGGTCCAGTTTGCGTCCATGGAGAAAACGCAGATATGTAACTAAGCATGTGTAACACAGGTCCTGCTGTTGATAGCACAAGGTCACACAGCCTCCTGCGTCATAAGTCACACGTGTTACATGTGACTGTGGTTCGCTCCATATACAGTCGTCCTCACATGTATTCAAATCCTTCCATGAAAGAAAAGGCAAAATTTACAATCGTCACTCAAATAACTAGAAACTGAAGAAATTAATAATTTTTAAAAATGTGCTAAATTATAATTTAGTGATATGAGACGTTGCTTTTGAGTTGTGGTTGAAAAGAATCCATCCATCATTTATGCACCGCTTAATCCTCATTAGGGTCATGTAGGGCTGGAGTCTATCCCAGCTGACTTAGGGTGAAGACAGGGGACACCCTGGACAGGTCACCAGTCTATCACAGGGCTACACTTAGAGACAGACAACCAAGCACACTCACATTCACACCTACGGACAATTTAGAATCACCAGTTAACCTCAACATGTTTTTGGACTGTGTGGGAGGAAGCCGGAGAACCCGGAGAGAACCCACACTGCACGGGGAGAACATGGAGACTCCACGCAGGAAGAACGTGAACCAGCGACCTTCTTGCTGTGAGGCAACAGTGCTACCAACTGCGCCACCCTGCAGCCTGGTTGAAAAGAATAATTTAAAAAAACAAAACTGTCTCAAACAAATTAGAGAGAAATTGCTGATGAGCAGTGAATCCAAACACCTGCCAACAGGTGCAGAAGTCCGACTGAGAGTTACAGAAAACACCTGATGGCTGTGATTGGCTCAAAAGGTTGTTCATCAAAATATTAGTTTACGGGTCCCATCATGCTGGTTTGCTTGTTTTTTTAATATTTCTGTTGAACCACAATTCAAAAGCAATGTCATGATTTTCATTACATTTTTATTTATTATTACTTTTGTCAGGTGTTTCAGTGACGGCTCTTTTTTTCCTTCTTTAATGGGAGGCTAATGAGGACGACTGTATGTGAAAACAGTCCCAGAACTTTTTGATCACCACACTCACGCCTAAATGTTAAAACGCCAACATTACTTCAGCTGTTCTTTGGCCTCCAACTTACCTCACATGCTAACTGGTAGCATTCATAGCCGTTAACATGTTAGCCTGCTACCTTAGCTTTTTACGGAGGATGAATCATTGTGATGTAACAACGTGGCAGTTTTTCCCCACTAATGACTTGTCTCATTAACTCATCAACGTTTTTATTATTAGCTTCTATTTATATATACCATGTGATTTACGTTGGAGTTTGTGCTTTTTTCACAAAATTGAATGAGGCTGTGGAGAAGCTGTAATGAGTGGAATATCTCCCCAGCAGCACCGGATCACAGGGCTCCTGACCAAAACGAATACAGATGGCAGTGATTGTTCTAAAATAAATGGCATCTTTTGTCCTGCTCGCCCCACTTCCGTAGCCCAGAGACGACATATCAGCTCTGGCTTGGGATCTTCATCAGGGACTCTTGATGCTCCCTCTGAATGTGGCCCGTCATAGCTGTCCCTGTTAGCCTGCCACATGTAGCACATCCAGTACAGCAGTGTCTTCTACAGTTAATCTGGTGTATGTGAAAATGGAACAGCCGCAACTATATCAGCACAACCTGCACTATTGACAATCATACAGTAGCTTCTTGATTCTGGTCCAGCAGCAGATTTAGTGTGTTTGTTATGTGTTGTTCAAAAGGTTGAGAGTAGCTGTAAATAATGGTATTTTGAAAAGAAAAAAGTCTTCCAGTTTTATTTCTATTTATTAGTAAGCATTTCTTTCCGATGTTACGAGCAAAAATATTTAAAGAGGATTGTCATTTTTAACAGCATGCAAGAATTTATGCTCTGTATCTCAGGTGTTGACTGCATTTAACACACACGTATATATGCAGCTTTGAAAACTGTTCATAGATGGAGTGACTGTGATGTTGTGCCTCTGAATTAAAGTGATGTCTCCTGATGTACCGACTGCCCGCTCGTCGCTGCAGCAGCAGCACAAACTCCACCAGTAAACAGCAGTGGAAAGTTTGCTTAGGCACATGTAGCTTATTATTTTCAATCAACAAGAGCTCTCGGTTTATCTCAGCAGCAGTTGTCAGCCGAAGCTTTTTCCCAGCAGGGCTTGTTGTGGGAAAACTTACAGTCTCTCCTGCAGGGGTTTGTTGACTCTGCCGAAGCCTCCGCTGGGTGCTGATCATTTTATTGGAGTAGTTTGACACTTTTGGGAAATATTCTTATTGCTTGAAGTTACAGTGGTGCTTGAAAGTTTGTGAACCCTTCAGAATTTTCAGTTTTCTGCAAAAATATGACCTAAAACATCAGCAGGTTTTTCACACAAGTCCTACAAGTAGATGAAGAGAACAGAAACATCTAAATATTACACTAGGGATTTCGTTTTTTGAAGATGATGATCTAATATTACATATCTGTGAAGGTCAAAGGCAAATGAGTTTGGCACTCACAGACTGCATCTTCTTCAACAAATAAATGATTGAGTGTATTATTTTGTCATTTGTCTAATTGGGTTTGCTTTATTTACTTTTCAGAATGTGAAAACTTATTAGATTTTAGGTCATATTTCTGCAGAAATAGTGAAAATGCTGAAAAGTTATAAACTTTCAAACACCACTGCAGGTCAGATTAAGGCTACCTTCATGTCTGGCTGCTCAACGACGAGCTAGCTTAGCATAGCTAGCTTGGCTCTATCTGTGTTTAAAAATACCCCCACCAACACTTTAGAATTTTACTAATTAACATGTTTAATTTCCACACACAGTCAAAGCTTATTTTTTAGCTTTTCAGTGAGCCAAGCTAGCTGTTCCTCTTGCTTCCATTTTTAATGCTAAGCTAAGCTAATCCTCTGCTGGCTTTAGCCCGCATGAGACTCAAAATTCTCATCTAATTGTTGGCAAGACAGTGAAAATGTGTGCTTCCAAAAAAATGTCAGATTATAAATTAAAAGCGTATTCGGAGCACTCCAATCTGCCTTTTGCTTTTAATGTTAAAAACAAAAAGCTCTGTGAACACGCCCTGATTTTATTGACTGCATCAGAACTTGATTTAGCCACAGTCGGGTCTGAAATATCCGCCTTTTACGATCCTCTTCTTCAAATTCCTTCGGGACTAAAACAGCTACTTGGAAAACCTAATAAGCGTAATGCTGGACGTGCACATGACGCCGAAGTCACCGTGTTGTGGAACCAGAGAGCTCAGAACAACCGTCTCAGCTGTTTCTTTGACAGCTATTACCAGTCATCTCGTTGAATCCGGTTAAATCTGGCTGCACGCCGGTTTGCAAATTCTTTGTTGACAAAGGTTGGGTGGGAAGAAATACACTGCTCCCACAGAAATGTGAAAAGGTTTTCTCTTTTTGATTAAATGTAATTTTCCTCACACAGAATACTGGAGCGGCGCGTATTTGATTATAAACTGTGTGTCTGCAGAGAGTGAAGAAAGCAATGTGAAGGAGTGACGGGGGAAGAAGCCATGGTGTTCCAGTGTTTGTTATTTATTGTCTGAACATATCACCAAATGTGTACAGCAATTAATTTAAACCTCCTTCTTTTATTATCAAAATCTATTTGTTGATTTGTAATTTAAGATGAAGCATGTGTGTGTGTGTGTGTGTGTGTGTGTGTGTGTGTCTCAGCTTTGTGTCCAGTGTATTTTTAGTTTTTATCTCTTTTTCTTGTTATTGAGTTATGAACGAAAAAGCTGTCCTTTTCAGACGGCGCTAATATTTTCATATTTTGAGAACTATGTGGGAACAGGAAGTGAGGTCACTCCGTGATTTGTGGGGACAGTTTCTTTTGCAGTTTGTTCTGATGAAACATGAGCTAAAAGCATCTCCACAGCAATAACATTACAAAACAACCAGTTTGCAAAGTTCCTGTTTGTCTGTTTGGTTTATGCTGTAAAGGAGTGTAAATCCAATAAAATTCTACATCCTGATTTGTTTTGTGGTTGTATCCAGAATGAACGCTCTCATCCAGAACTCGTTGTAGCAGCATTCCTCCAGTACTGGTACATCAATATCAACAACAACTGGATATATTTCTAGTAAATTAAACAGATATTCAGGTTCCCCAGAAGATGACTGAAATGATTGACTTCCTTCGATCCAGCACGAGGCTTCGACTTTTACATCTAATGCCATCGTCAGCACTGTTGGAGCCACATAGTTATAAAAGAAGGAGCAGCCTGAGACCATGTTGGGGCGGCTGAAGTCCAAAATATCGTTTCGTTTTTCGCTCACTGTTAGTACACAGGTAAGACTGCTGTCTATAAACCCAGGAGAACCCAAATTCATTGTATGAAACCCAGAATGGTTGCTCAAGTTATGCTTTTATACCTGCTAATAAAGCTTGTAAGATATTTACAATTTAAATTCCATAAGATAATCACTTGTAGGGGCTGTAAGGTGG